AGTATACTTCTAAATTTTGCCAGACTCCTAATTCAGATAGATCATATAAGACTATAACCAGTTTATTAGTATATTAGATCAGTTCAATATTCTTTTCTTTTAGTTTGTTTCAGTAGCCTGGTTGGTAATATCTCTAAAACTCCCAATCTGAAGGTTCTTGTCTGTTTAGTAACTAAGATTTGGATATCCATTTTCTCAGGCTAGCCTTTACAATAGTGCCATTGAAGATTTGGCTATTTTTATACTTGGGTCTTTCTAAATAGACTTCTTGTTACTTAATTTTAATGAATTTATATAACTACAAGGACTTATCTAGTGTTTGCACTATTCAGTTGTCAGTTTGCATTTCTTAGTATAATTCTAACATTGCACAGATGCTTTATAATCTGCCAGTCATGCTAGTATAACTATCATTACAGATATTCTAACCTAATTATTAGTAACAATTGCTATAATATAAATATTACATAGATGATTATCTAAATTTTTACTGTCAATGGGATTTGAACATTCAATTTACCACTTGAGAAGTTAACAATCTGATCACTTCACTAGGTTGCTACATCCTATTTTTGTATAAGCTATATATATATATAATTAAAAAATATAATAAAAATAATAATTATATATTATAAAAACCAAACTTAGCAAAAACAAAAAAAATTCTAAATTAATACAGTCATAGAACTCTTTCTAACAATTACTTAAACCAAACTTTCCAAAAAGCTGAACTACAGAAAAATGATATAATTAATATATTAAGCTTTAGAAGTATAGTAACCTAGTAAAATGGACAAATTGTCAACTTCCAAGTAGCAAATTTAGTGTTCAAATTCTATAAATGGCAAAATTTGAAAATTATATTTGTGTTATAGTAACTGTGTCTTGTCAATTAGTAGAATGAAAGAGATGATCTGTAATCTTAGAGACATCATCTTGAATAGAAGCTCAGGGCATCTATGCAAAATGTAATATTACATATATATAGAGAAATATTAATAACTAGTGTTGCATAAAACTCTAGTGCAAACTTATAATAAGATCATTAGACATATAATACTAAGAAACCAAAGCATAAAAACCTATTTGGAAATTACAAGTAAAAAAGTAGCATGAACTTTGACAGTACTACTAAACTATAAGAAAACTCAAAAAAAGAATTACTAAGATTACTAGAATAAATTGAACAATAATATATATAGAGAAGCATATATCAACTAGGTTATCAGAAACCATCAGAGAAAAAGAATTTTAGAATACCATACCAAACTATCTGGATTAGTAGTTTGTAAAGTTTTGTAGATCTTGTAGGTTCAGAAGTAGATAATGAAAATTAGAAAAAGAAGGTATCAGAGTCCTAATGAACTTTACAAGTGTATAATGATTTAATAGTTAGTTCTAACTGCAAGTGATGATCTAGGTCAGAGCAGTACTGAGTTAGCTATAAGTATAGAATACAAAAGGCTTTAGTAGGCTTAATATAAAGTTAAATATGATTTAGTGATTATGATATATTTGCAGATTAAAATTGCAGTTAATAGAGTAGGAATAAATATAAGAACTAGAATGTTTAAATAAAGATCCTACAAATAGATTTTAGGTATAACAACTAGTATAAAACCTTAAAGTAGACTACTTAAAATAAACAATGACTAAAGTTGTATAAGTGGCTAGTTGTATACTCTTTTTCTAATTCTCTCTGTAACTGTTATACACAATAGTTATATGCTAACTAATTATTAATAAACTTCTAAATTGCAATTACTTGTCTTAACATTAAAAATAATATATATTAAATTTTATAAAAACTTTTCTAAAATACTGTACATACATTGTTAGACATTGAAATAAAGTTAAAAAAGAGTCACAGCTTTGTGATAATAATTTAAAAAACACTTTGGAACTATAAAAAAAGTAATTGGTGAAAGCCAAAGTTTTTAATTAAGTAAATAACAAAGTTAGATATATTAGTTTTATATAACTGTAAAACCTACAAGGAACACCCACAAGGGTTCAGAACTCACAAAAGCCAAAAGTTGGTTCATCTAGCACTTTTATTTTTTTTAAGAAAATTTTTGTAAAATAAATGATTTAGTTTATTTTCTCTAAAGATTGATATGTAAAATTACCAAAACAGTTAACAATATTTAGTTCCTAAACAGAATTGTTGAAAATATGGATTAGAAATAATACAATAATACAAATATAACTATACACATATCTCGAGCTACTAAAAACTTGTCAAGCACTGCATTCAGACTAATTAGTATTTTATATTGACTTTCTATGATAAAGTCAAGTTTTTTCTTCTTTTTGGTTTTTTGTTTAAATAATCTAAGTAAATAGAAAGACAGTAGAATAATTTTTATTTAGTATAGTTATAATTTTTACAAGCCTGATACAGACTTATAATTATAATTATCTGATATTTGTAAATTGCAAGTTTCATATCTAACACAGACTTAAAATCTTAACTATCTGATTTTTTGTAAATTGCAAGTTTTACACTTTTCTTTTTTCTTGTTTATCTTCTTTTTCTTTTTTATTTCTTGTTTTGTACCTTTTATGTTTACCTCTATACTTCTGTTTTTTTTTTATATATTAAATCTTTTTTTTTGTTTTTTTGCTTCCTTATAAGAAGACATTATCAGATTGGTAGTATTCTATTGTAGGGTAGCAGTCAGATGAGCAGTCTACCTCTGTTTGGAGTAGTGTGACAGATTGCACTTAGGCACTAATAAGATGGTCAAATAATGCTAGACTTAAGTATTAGAAAAATTATCTGTAATTTGTATAGTATCAAGAATTCTAATAAAGTACTAACATGACTGCTTAAGTTAAAAAAAAATTCTGGATTAATATAAATAAAATATATAATATCTTGACTACTAGTTAAAAACTTACTAATTAGTTATATATATTTATTAATATAATATTTTTTTAAAATATATATACAAAAGTAAGCATTATTATATATGCAAAATTAAATTACAAAAACCAGTTTTATTGATATAAAATAAAAATAAAATATGATTTGCCTTATAGCTATGATATACAAATTTGTTTTACAAAATAAAATGTTATTTCTATATTCATAAGCAGAAGTTTGTCTGATTGGCTAATAAATTTAATTTAATTTTACATTATTTATACAGTTTAAAGTACTTTTTTAAAAAATAAAAACCAATTATAATAAAGTAAAAAAACTATATAAAATATTTTTTTAGAGCTGTAAGATTCTATAACCAAAAATAAAATCTAATTTTTATTTATTTAAAAAAGTTAGTATAGTAATTACTTCACAAAACCAATAAAATCAACTTATTACTAAGCTAATTTTTTAAATAAATGAAAATTAGATCTTATTTTTAACTATGAAATCCTATAGCTCTAATGAAACCTTTTATATAGTTTTTTATTTATTTTATTATAGTTGGTTTTTGTTTTTTAAAAAAGTATTCTAAACTGTATAAATAATATAAAATTAAATTGAATTTATTAGCGAATTAGACGAACTTATGCCTATGATTTCTATATTAATTTTTGCAAATCATACTTGTTTTTCATTTGTCTATACTCATACTTTATTTAGTTGTTCTAATAATTAATATTTTGGCTAATATAAAAATAGTTATTAGTTATACTTATGTTCAAAATGCACATCTCCTATATTTTTTGCTATAGGTATTTTTTTATAAAACTTTGTAAATTTAAATTTTTTGTTACAAATCTATACCATACAATCATATATAAATAATGTTATAATAATTATATGACACAATGAAGTTCATATATTTATTGATATAGAAACAAATCATCATTATTTTTTATAAAAATTATCTTTTTCTTGAAGGCAATGCTATTGTAGAAAGTTCATTAACTTTAATATATTTATGTGTGAAGTTTGGCATAAGCCTACTAAGCTTGAGATAATAATCTATAACATGGCTCTATTATCAATCAAGAAAGCAACAAGCTTATAAATGTATAGTAGTTTGTAAAATGAAAAGACATCTTGCTTCGAGTTTATGCCTATACCTTAAACATATATACCTTTTCAATCACTTCTTTGAGCATGTACAATTGATTCTTAGAGTTTGGGATAGAGAACTCTGTAATCTTATATAAATCACTTGTACAATGCATCATATGTATTGTGGCCATCTGTTCTAAAATCAAAAGGTTCAAAGAATAATTTATGAAATCTAATTAACCTTTCAAAAAAAACATTGTTATACTTACTATAAATAACAATGCATATGACTCCAAGATTTGTAATTGATTTTCCGATGCTTCTCATTGAAAGTGATGCTGTCATTGGTAGAATAAAGAAATTTGTATACCTAAAAGACTTTGAGGTAAAGTACTATATATTAGTCTGCCATAAACAAGACATACTAAATAATAAACATACTTGCATTTTAGCACTTTCTCTAGATTCTCAGATAGTTTGGTGAGATCATTGTAGATGATACTTACAACTATTTTCATGAATCCAACTTCTACTTTAGTCCTATTTACATTAGTGATAATAACCCTAGAAGTTTGCAAATTGCCTATTTTTGAGGCCCAGCCTGCATTTAGGGTTAAAATTTTTTTGCTAGTCTGGCCTAGCCCACATATATTAAATTTTTTCTTCAGGCTAGCCTGGCTCAGCCTGGCCCACAAAAATTTCTTATATAATTTTATAAAATTTTAGACCTGACCTGGCCTGCAATTATAAAGTTTTGCAAATTTTTCGGCCCAGCCCAATCCACAATTATAAAATTTTGCATTAGTCCTGGCCCAGCCTGGCTAGGCTGCGAGACCTAATACAGACCTCTAAATAACCCCATCCTGGCAGCAACCAAGACTAAGCTATTGTATGCATGCTTGTGTCTTGATACATTGAGTTTTTATTAAGGGTAGAGTACAATATTTAAAATTTAATATAAGATCAGTTGCAAATTTTTTATATTACACATATAGAAATAGAATAGGCATATTTAAATCTAGAACCTTCTACATGCATGAATCAAATAAAATGTTTAATGTTCATGTATTTTCATATGATAATTGGCTAATTAAATTATAAGGTTTAAAAAAAATTAAAAAAATACAAAATGAAACAAAATAAATGCTATGTATAAATGAATTTAATTACATATTTTGTCACCAAGTAAGCAAATGTATCTTTATTTTGTTTATTAATTAAATAATAAACAAACTTTAAATTATTATAATATATAAAAAAAACAATAATCAATGTCTAATTCTATATCAAATATAATCCAAAACTTGATATATATGAACATATTATATAGATTCTATAGTCTTTAATATTTGACATTATATGATCTCTAATATAACACTTATACTATTGTAATAGTTTTATACATATGCATTCTTATTTCTATTTTAAAAAATATACAAAAAAAAGTATGTAATTAGTTCTTATTTTATTAATTATATGAATATAGATTTGCTTTGAACTTTTAAAAGATTTATTTATAATGTTTTAAATAAAAGATTGTGCAAACTAACAGTCTAACACACATTACCCTTATTGAATTGTTGCTTTTAACTTTTTGATTTTTATCATCTGAATGTTCAAAATTTGTAGTTTGGTATTTCATAATTACTTCTACATATACTTTTGTAAAGAAACTTGTCCTATAAAGATTGTGGTATTTAAAAGAGTCAATGATATGGTTAAAATACAACACTAAAACTTCAAGTTTACTTAGTAAACTTTATAAACAAAGGCTTATACAAGTCTCATGAAAAAGTACTTGGATTACGATTATCATGAATTGTGTTACATGTTTCTATTTTTAAGTACATTTTAACTTGTTAATAATAATTACACATAATTATCATATTGTTGGTAAAATTTTTTAATGCAAAGAGCATATATTTTCATGTTCACCTAGCCTTTATAACCTTTTAAGTACATAGTATTTTGAATTTATTATTATCATTGATTTATAGTAATTTTTAACCAATTTTCTTAATTTTCTTGTAAAATGCAAAATCAAATTAACAATTTCTTGAAAACTGCCAAAAAATGTAAGATAAATACTACATTAGTTATTTATCTTAGGCTAAAAGAAAACTGATAGATTCCAAAAGACGAATTAAGAACAATTATAGATAAAGCTGTAATTTTTGGCCAAAGTAAATATGTAAAAGGCACATCTCATTACTTAAGAATTTCAAAAATTCCTTCACAGATTAGTTAAAGCTTCATACAGATATTTCAAAATTTTTATATGATGATATTGTATGATCTGTTTTTAGAGCAGTGCTAAATAAACAAGCTATATTATTTTAGTTTGTTGTTTATATTTTTTTACCCATCACATCGGCCCCCAATAATACTTGTATATAATACGAGAGTGTATATACTATGAACTGTTATGCAGTATCATAGTTTACTCTATTAACCTATTATATAAAAAGGTTATTGCACGGTTAGGGTGAGTTAAGGTATAAATTATTATATTGTAAATTAGTATTATACAAGGTTTCATTGGTGTAATAGCCATACAAAAATGTTAACTTTGCATATGCACTGATAATATATGTTAGTTTTAATGATACAAATTTTTATATTTTGAAATCTAACATATAACAATTTTTTTTTTTTTTAGTTTAATAGTGCTTTCAAAAGTGTATATTCCTTAATTGATATAGAAGCAATTAAAACAAATAAGGAACAACTGTTTGGTTCAAACCAGATTTAAAACAATATTAAAAAGTTAAAAAAAAAGAAAACTCTAAAAAAATACTACTAGTCTTTATCAAAATTTACTCTTGAAAGTAAATAAAACTTCTGTTCAAGAATTAACTTAGAAAGATCCTTTGGCTAGTCAAATTTTTAGAGATAATGCCCCAATTATAGATGATTTATGTAAAAACCAAAAAACAAAAGGCCTATACAAAGCATTTATGGTATATATTTATTATTAAGCAAAATAATTCCTATAAATTATTTTTAATATTTCTCACTATAGTCTTTATTTTAGAAACTAGTTAGAGAAATAAAGCATACACTTCCATTAAGTGTTAAAAATAAGTGTAAAGAATTTGTATCAAGCTTTTCTAACTATAATTATAGTGAATTTTTAAGCAAGTTTATTCATAATAAGATATAAAAAGAATCTGAAAAAAAAATTTTATTAGTTGTAAATAACATTTTTAGTATTATGAAAGATGTGTAGAATAATTTAGCTCTTAACTCTAAAACAGCTGGAGCATTAAATAAGGAAACTTATCAGTCTACTATTATTGTACCATTTATTTAAGCTGCATTAAAAAATCTTCTCTTTAGATTGTCTTCATTTATTAGCATATCGAAAAGAGAAAGTCTTGCTAGTGCAGATAGAAAAGGAGACAGTCAAATGAGAAGACATCCTGATATTATGTTTATGGTAAAACATTTGGATATGCTCTTCGAAATTATATATGTCGAATGCTTAAGATTGGTTTGTACACCTCAAAAAAAGTCAGATAATGATATTAAGTTATGAAAAGAATATAATGATGATATATATTATATACAAAAATTTCTTAATCCAGAAAAAGACCAATTTGAAATTATTGGGATACAAATAGCAGAAGATACTTTACATCTGAATGTTCTTATTAGAAATACAATGAATATTCATAAATATTATAATATAGAAATGGTAAAAATTTCTGTGCAAAAGTCAGATGAGACCATCGTAATTAAATTTGTAGAAACTCTTCTCTTTTTATATAACATCATCAGCAAAAAATATAAGCAAAATATTGTGAAAGATTTTGCATATCAAAAATCTTTCAAAATAACTGCGATTGACACAAAATTCTTTCGAAATAAAAAAATTTCGCAATATTGCGAAATTATTAGCAAATTTTCGAAATAATACAAAATAATTAGAAAATTTTTACAATAATGCTAAACAATTAGAAAATTTTCACAATAATGTGAAATAATCAAAAAAATTTTGCAATATTATGAAATAATCGGAAAATTTTTACTATTACTAAATAATTAAAAAAATTTTAAAACTATTTATTAATTTATTTAATTTTTAATTATTATT